CTAATAATTTTGATCAGATTATTTCACTGTTTTTTTAAAAGACGGGACTGGGGAGAAGTGGATTAATTCCCTCAAACCTACATTTAAAAAAAGCTGGGCAAAATTTTGGCCCTTGTAATACTAGTGCTAAGGAAGCGGAGACTGGTGGATCCTTGGGGCTTGATGGCCAGCCAGTCTAGTCTATTTGAAAAGTTCCAGGCCAGTAAGGGACCCTCTCTCAAAATATAAGGTAGACAGCTCCTGAGGTATGATACCCAAGGATACCCAAGGTTGTTCTCTGGTCTCCATGAATCTGCACACATATATAAACACATATGGCAAAAAACAAACAAAAAACTGGAGAGGGGGCTCGGATTTAAAATTCTTCTCTGTTGGAGCTGTAAATTACATCCAATATAGCATTTTCCCCAAATATTAATATACCTAATAGTTAACAGGGAAAATTATTTAAATATATTGTTTTCACTTGTACTGTGAAATTCTGGCTCAGTATGTCTGGAATAGTTCCAAGGAATCTGTATCTATTTTTTTTAAACGGTTTCCCTGTAGCCTCAGCTGGCCTGGAACTCAGTATGTAGACCTAACTGGCCTCAATCTCACAGACATCCACCTGCCTCTGCCTCCCAAGAGCGGGGAATACTTAATAAGCTTTCTGGCTAACTTTGATTTTTTGACTACAATTTTAGAAACACCACTGTAGGGTTCTATTACTATTAAAGACAAACCTGAGACTGTACTGGCTCAGAATCAATTATTTGGATGCTAGGATTATTCTACCCAAGATAAAAAGGCTTTATTGTAGTTGCAAACTTGTTTTTTCATTTTCCAACTAATTTAAGGAATAGTTTAAGAGAAATTAAGGATTACTATCCTCAACTACTTTCTATGGTACACATTAGACTGCAAGGTACTACTGTAGTAAAATAATAAAACACAGTATCTCAGCTCATCTACTGAGGGAGATGACAACCAAACAGCTAAGCCGTAATTACAAGTCAGAGGCACTCTGAAGGATAAGTAGATCATGCCAGGAAGGTCCTTTCTGAGGTGGTTCTGGCTACTGTTCATCCTTCAAGGGTCAGGCAGTCAAGAAGGAAGACACAGAATAACTGTTCTGGATGTTACATTGAAGGTCAGGAAAGACCAGTGTGGACAGAAAACAATGATCAAAAAGAGCAGCAAGAAATGAGAAATGGTAGAAGCCTGAGAATAAAAGAAGAGAGCCAGAGACAAAGTCACTTTCACAGCCTGGGTTCTACTGTATATGCAATGAGAGCCTATGGAAGAGTTTTAAGAAAACCAGCACACTTATCTCAAAAGACCACTCCACTCTTATCTGGAGACTGGACTGAATGGGTGAGGAGGGAGGTGAAAGGGGAAACCAGTTAGGAAAGTATTATAATTTACTGGGCTTGAACTCATGATATTTCTGCTGCTGCTTCCAGAATGCTGGGAATACAGAAGTGTGCCACACCTGGAAACAGTTACTGTAAGTTATTAAAATTAAGGTTAGGATTGCATCTTTTATTTTAAAAGTTTTTGGTTGCATCAACTAATATCCTGAGAAGTTTATAATAAAAAAACCCACAAACATGGAAATATAAAAACAGGGGAAAAGATTTCTTGGCTTTTTCCAACTGTGATGGTTTGAATGAATATGTCCCCCATAGGCTCCAAGTGTTTAGACATTTTGTCCCCAGATGATGGCGCTGTTTTTGGAGGTTTTAGGAGGTGTGGCTATCCTGGAGGAAGCATGTCACTGGGGGTGGGCTTACAGAGTTCTTAAGCCTTGCCAGATCTCCAGTCACTCTCTTGCTTCCCATGCCTGCATGATGATGTGAGAACTTAACTTCTGCCACTCCTGCTCCAGCCACCTCCAGCCACCATGCTTCCCTGCCATGACGGACTATAATTCCCCTGGAACCGTAAGCTCAAATAAACTCTTCCTTCTATAAATTGCTTGGGTCAGTGTTTCTATCACAGCAACAGAAAAGTGACTAAGACACCAACTTAAATATTAACTTACATACTGATCTTTATTTTATAAATACTGTTAACTGAAAAAAATCCTAAAACTATACCTTCTTTACATTTAAAATTCAAGTATCTTTAATAGTAGATAAAAAATTAGGAAACAGAGAAGAACCTGACTAGGAAGTAACATTCTCCCCAGAATTAATAATGTACTCCATTGGACCATGTGCTAGGATCCCAATCTCTTAAAATCGTTGTGAAATGAAATGCACTCAGCAGACATGGATTAGGCAGCAAGGACAATGAGTCTACTCTCTAGGTCCTATATGATACTAATTACAGCTACAAAAGGTGCAAAGGGGAAGTGACTCCTTCAAGATGGTAGTGATACACCCCAAAGCTGACTTAAAAAAATTTTTTTTTATTATTTTTGTGTGTATGTGTGTATTCCCTGCACGTATGTAAGTGCATCTGTGTGGTGCAATGCCCCTAGAGGACAGAAGAGACTGTCGGATCCCCTGGAACTGGAGTTACAGACAGTTGTTAGCTCCCATGTGGGTGCTGGGATTCAAACCGGGGTCTTCTGCAAGAACAGCCAGTGTTCTTAACTGCTCCCAAAGCTGTCTTTAGAGTTAATAATGCCTAGTATAAAGTATAAAGTTTTTCCCTTCTTATCCAAAATGTTACCTTTGATCGTTCAGCAAGACTCAAAACCATTTTCCTGATCAACTGCATCACTTATTCTTAAGTACAAGTCTAATAAATCTCCAACGAAGCTACCAATGTTTAATTCCAAGCTTTACTAAGAAATGATGTATCCAGTCACAATTTGGAAATCAGTGGCATGGTAATAATACCATGCCCCAACTAGACATAGCTCTTCCCATTGATCACTGGGCACAGGTAACAAGCTTTTAAGCAACGAAACACTCAAAGGGAAGGAAAAACCTTAGTGCTGTGATTAAAGAGGAAATGGAACCTTCCATTTCTGATTAACTACTTTCCCATCATTAAAAACTTCACTTAGTAATGACGTATTTACCGATTATGAACTACTGTAAACACTGCACACCAAGTGAATAGGTTATAAACTCTGTCCCACAGAGGCTTCATTTCCAAGCAGGTATTAAACCAGAACCAATGGCCAGTGTAGTTGTGCTGTCTTGTAATGATTAATGGCTCTTCACTAATTTTTAGGTACAGTAATAGCTCCTGTAAAGACTGCTCAGAGCCACAAAAACATGGACTATTCCCCACGTTCACGATGAATCCTTTACAGCAGTTGTTTAAAATAAGCCTTCGATAACTGATGAATACCAGGTCCTTTCCTTGAAGCCATGGATTAGATATAGGTGGTTGTCTTAAATTCATGTTGAAACTGAATTGCCAATATAACAGTACTGTAAGGCCATGGGTGCACCACCCTCATGACTGAATTTATTAACCAGTCTTCCAAGATTTCCCAACATCTAGAATAATGTGCCCAAATAAACCTTTGTTTTAAATCAGCCTCGGGTATTCTGCTACAGCAACATAAATAAACTCAGAAAAATGCAAACATGTACCTTCAGAGAAAATGCAGCTAACTTCAGAAGTTTAAAAAAGTGCTTTGTGTTTATCCACAGAGCCTAGGTAAAAAAAAAACACAAAACTGTTATAATCCTGGTGAGAAGCCTGCTGGGCTGGGTCCCTGCACTCCCAGTCTATACAATACAGTTTGTTAAGAAACTCGGACTCTTCTAGTATGTGTTTGGGGGTGGAGGAGAGGAAACACGACTGTTACAAAATCACTACAGAATAAAGTAATGAAAAGGTTTATGGGCAGGGCGGAAAGTAGCTGTCAGGCAAATACAACACAAAGACAAAGCAAAAGTGGCATGAGATTCTTGACCACTCTGATGCCTGTATTAAGCAGCAGCTTTTAGTTCTTCATCTAGCAAGTATTCATTAAGCACTGTGATATAATAGATGAAGTGTAAGAGATATGATACTGATCAAGTTGTAGCTAACTTTATACAGACCATGGGAAAGACAATCATCCTGATGAGTAATTGAAAACCAAGACATGACGCTGGCGGAAAGGAAGTCTATCTTATAATCACCTACAACAGAAGAACCTAGCTTAGACTAAATGCACACAAAGGGCTTTCCTACAAAGTTCATGTACTAAAGAACTAGAGAGATATACTAATATAAGTAATTTATGCAGAAACAGGGATGTGGTTAAGTTAATTTAAGCCTTCTAGAATGGCAGAAAGGACCACATAAGTAAAAATCCCCCAGTGGAGGCAGTGTGAAGTTTAGGCAGTGCTATGAATTTAGAGAATCTTTATCAATAGCATCCTCCTTAGCCTGTTAACAAAGATAATGGTGCATGCAATATAGAGTAGGTAAGAGGATTCAGAGAACACATGTCGAGTCCTTAGCAGATGCTGCACATCACACAGTAAGTACTCACTGTACAACAGTGAAGACAATGATCACGAAGTAGCTAAGATAAGCTGCAGAGTCCATCCACGCTGTCTGAGCACACTCAACTCACCATCGCAGTTCCTGAAGCTACCAGGAACGAATTCCCAAGGCAACATACAAGTATCTTAAAAAATTTCTTAATGTTTGCTCACTTTTAGTTTTATAAATGTGCTAAAAAAAAAAAAAATACAGCTGTATTTAGATACAGCACAAATGTGTCATTTCTACCTAACATCATACTGTTGAGATTAGCCTGTCGTTCAAACAACGTACTGGTGAATTGTGGGGAATCCTTAAGTAAAATAAACTGAGGTATAATTAAGAAAGAAAATAATTTCCTTTTACTGCTAGGCAGATTGTTATATGGACCAAAGTAATGTAGAAACTACTATGTAGACAACTGCTAATATTAAAAGGAATCTATACTTTTCAGACAAATGCTTTGTCAGATACACTGAGCATTGTATGTATCTATAATGCAGCTCCTGGTCTGCAACTGCCTGACAGTTAAGAACTTGAAATTAAGACATGTCTGTGCCACAAAAATGCACCACTACCTGGAAAACTGGTCTTCATTACATCCACGCCAACTTGTAGTTCAGGTTCTGCAGCAAGAACTGCATAGTCCCCTTGATGGGAGACGTTGAAGTTGAAATTGGGATAAGGATTCAATGAGTCCTTCGCAAGAACCGGCTTTCCTTTTGCAGTTCTTTGCAGACGAATATGATTCCAAGGGATATTCAATTTCTCTGCAACTAATTTCCTTATCATCAGACGACCAGCCTGATAAGACACAGAAAATGTAACACGCACTGATGTTTATTGAACACATAAGCACATTGCTTATATAAAGCTCTTTTCGCTTCTACACTTTTCACTTTTAAAGTATATATGTATTAAATGCATTACAATTATGCAATCTTTAGATCAATTTCATTCCTTTAACCTGTAAACAATGCTAACAGCAGACATTCTTCTGTTTTTTTTCCTCTAAGTATTCAAGTGCACATTCTTTTGCTAACTTTCTTACTACAAACACCATATAGCAGATCATACTACATGTAGTGCATTACCAAATAAGCTTTTAAATTAGTAAATATTGGGGGTTATTTCCTGTCTGTACGTTATCAGTCTGGTCCAGGTATCATTAACATATTTTGTAACACTGATGTCTTAACAGGCACACTGCATACTGACTGAATAGCTTCAGGGAGATTTCAGGCTGTGTCTAGGTTATTGTTATGAAAAACTCTGCAGCAAGCAGGTCTACTGTGCCCACACCTGTGCATATATGTACAAGCATCTCTAGATCCTGTATACTGACCACTTGACTTCAAAAAGTTAGCAAGGCATTATTAACCTTTCTTTCCTCACTCTCACTCTAGAAAACAATCCTAAAATGCACAAAGTAAGCCAATGAGGCTATAATGTACGTATTTTCTAAATTTTCTCCCTCAGTTCTAACACTGATCCTTAAAATTATCAGGGTACCTCAAATTCACTCCTTTCCCACTTCTTACAAATTGTAAAAGAGTATAAAAATATCTACAAATATGCCTTCAAATAAGTAACAATTAGCCCACCTCTGATTCTGTACAAGGTAGTTTCAAGAAACAGCTGTCTCTGAAGTGATGGTAATTAGAGGCTGTATCAAATTGCACTAGAGAGTAAAGGGGCTTATTTTGAAATCCAATTTTCTTTCTTTTTTTCTAAAAATACATAACCAGCCGGGCGTGGTGGCGCACGCCTTTAATCCCAGCACTTGGGAGGCAGAAGCAGGCGGATCTCTCTGAGTTCAAGGCCAGCCTGGTCTACATAGGGAGTTCCAGGGCAGCTGGAGCTACAGGGAGACCCTGTCTCAAAAACAGACACAAAAACAAAGAATCTTGAAGCTAGCCAGGCTTGATGTGCGGGCTGTTATCCCAGCCACTTACATAGCTAAATCAGGAGAATCACAAGTTCAAGGCCAACCTGGAAAATTTAATGAGCTCATGTCTTAAAAAGTAAAAAGAGGGTTAGGGAGGTAGCTCAGCAATGCTCCCCGCTGGCAGCCCCGCGCCCAGCCCCCCGCCCCCCAGTACCATGGCCGCCTTGGCGTCCCGGGCAAACACGAACTGGCCGATGCGCTCCTTCTCCTCGGGCTGGATAGACCGCACAGCCAGCAGCCACTCGGCTCGGCTGGGCAGCCAGGTGCCGCAGGAGAAAGCCCAGCGCACGCCCTCCATGGATGGCAGCACACACAGCCGCTTGGCGGGGAACACCATGCACCTCGCTCAGGCCCACGGATTCCTCAGGCCTCCACTGCGGGCGTCGACGTGGCCACGCCCCCTCGCTCCTCCAGCCTGCGGTGCAGACGTAGACGTGACCACGCCCCTTCGTTCCTCCAGCCTGGGCGGTGGACCCGGACGTGGCCACGCCCCCTAGGTCGCGCGCCTGCGTACCGCAACGGGGCAGCGCCTTCGTCTTCAGTCTCCACCCTTTTTTCTGGCCCCTGAGCATTGGAAAGCCGGGCGTGGGGAACCGGGCGTCGTTACGTTATCCGGCTCCACCCACCTCCTTTCCTCCGCGTCAGGGCACGAGGGCAGGTCACCAAGCCCCACCCCTTCCCAGGCGTCTGCGCAGAAGGGAGCCTTTACGACAACAGGCTCCACCTCTCCTTTCCGCAGTCTATGGAGGGGGCGGGGCCTGACATATGTCATCAGGCTGGTGGGGCTCCGAGCGCGGCGGGGCGACCTCCTAGCCCTGCGGCACAGCGTGACGTTCCGTGGGCGTGGCTCCGGAGCAAATCGGAGGGCGGGACCAAGGCCGGTCCCAGAGCATTTACGCCACTCACACTTGAGGACGAGCTAACGGGACGGCGGCGCAGGCCAATCGCGGCCGGAGCTCTGCAGGCCGTGCCTGGGTGGAGGTTTGCGGTCTGCAGTAGCAGGTGGGTGAGCTCCTGGGTCTGAGGGAGGAGGGGGTGGGTCCGGCTCCGGCGACCCTCGGCTCCCGCTGTGCTGCGGACGCCCTGCAGCCCCTGGACGTATGCAGCTCGGCGGCCCTAGGTCCCCCCGTCCCCCCGGGTGGGCTGCAGAGCTGACCTCGCCAGCCTGGGCCTCTATAGGGCCCGGCTCCCGAGCCCGAGCTCCCCGCGGCCAGTGCAGGAGCCCCGGGGTACAAAGCCAGCTTTCCTCCCAGCTGTACCGGCGCTAGCTCTTTGGATGCTGTTCCCACGGTTGCTCAGGGGATGCTGTGCCCACGGTTGCTCGGGGGATGCTGTCTCCGTTGGGGACTGCTGGCTTCTCTTCCCCCTCGAGCAAAGCCCCTGAGGGCTGGAGACCCGGAAAAAGTCCACCTTGCAGAGGAGTGTGGACCCCGCACTTGATGCTGGACAGACTGATTCAGCCTTTTCCCTTCCTCTTATGGTTCCCACGAAGGACCTGCAAAGCCACCTGCCCGGTAGTTCGGTCCTCGTGAAGATGGAGTTTATTCCGCACCGAACTTCATTCACTTTCACATTTATGTCGTCTTACGAGCCCCTCTAGTGTGTGGACAGGCTCCACCTCTCCTTTCCGCAGTCTATGGAGGGGGCGGGGCCTGACATATGTCATCAGGCTGGTGGGGCTCGGAGAGCGGCAGGGGCGGAGACTCAGCAAGCGACCTCCTAGCCCTGCGGCACAGCGTGACGTTCCGTGGGCGTGGCTCCGGAGCAAATCGGAGGGCGGGACCAAGGCCGGTCCCAGAGCATTTACGCCACTCATACTTGAGGACGAGCTAACGGGACGGCGGCGCAGGCCAATCGCGGCCGGAGCTCTGCAGGCCGTGCCTGGGTGGAGGTTTGCGGTCTGCAGTAGCAGGTGGGTGAGCTCCTGGGTCTGAGGGAGGAGGGGGTGGGTCCGGCTCCGGCGACCCTCGGCTCCCGCTGTGCTGCGGA